CAACTTCCCAAGAGTCTGAAAGGTTATTTCTTTTTGTATAATATAGCACAGATAAAGATATGACAAGTCAGCACCCTAAAGAATGCTTTGGGGAGTTCTTATTATAGGAAGAGACTCAGGTAACGAAACTTTGAAGAATTGACCTCAATTTCTTAGCATTAGAACTCAACAGAACTTAGAACTCTGGTAACTAGGCACACACATTCCAGAAAGAGTGCCTTATTCAGTTCATTTAAAGGGAGATATGCAAGATAAAAAGATGTTTTCATGATGTAGCCAAACCTTCCAAGGTTCTAGGTACAAAAATGTACAGAGCACATCTACATGTTGGCTCAGCACTCACACCAGACCCTTATGGCCATTTATCAGGAGACATCTACAGGTAAAAGGGAGCAGCCCAGAGAAGACCAATCCAGGCAAGTCCTCATCTGGGATCACATCTGGAATATATTTTGACCTTCCTGTTCTGTGTATGTGTGTGTGTTGGGGTGGGGGGGAGTGGCAGTAATTGCAGGGGACCTAAAATGGCAGAATTAGGTTATTTCAGAAAATGGGTAATAGGGTGGATATTTAAATATTGGATTCTAGTATTTCTACTCAAATATTTATCCAAAGACATTATTCTCTAATCCAGTATATGGAGGCCTATACATATGTTTATCTATATCTGATCTGTGCATAAAAATTTTCAGTGGGAGTATCCTTTGTGGAAAGAGCGATTTATCACATGTTAATTATTGCCTACATTTAAGACAATCACTTTGCTGAGCTCCATGTATATCATCAAGGAGCTACTTGTTAATTCCATCTTCTTGGGGAAATAGCAAGTGCACCACACAACCCACAAAGGTATCTCTGGTCTGAGGTTAGATGAGCTTACTGGAGAAGGGTCTCCACAGGAAGGAACTGGAGATGGCTGGAATATGCCAGAACAAATACCCAGATTGGAGACTCCATTATAATTTCATTTAGCCAAAGTGCAGGAACAGTGTATTTGTATCATAATGGGCTGTATCAGTGTTACAGGGCTATCATAAGACAATGCCACAGATGGAATTAAACAAAAATTTATTTGTTCTATTTCTAGATTCTTATATCAAGGTGCTTGCTGGAATGATTTCCTTTGAGGCCCACTCTTTGATATGTAGATTGCCATCTTCTGTCTGACATTTTTATGGGCTTCTGTGTGTCTTTATTGCTGCTGTTTATAAAGAGGAAAAGTTCATTGGATTAGACTTTACACTAATTAACTGAGTTAACATTAATCATGCCTTTAAGAATCATATATTCAAACAGAGTCATTCTCTGAGGCACTTTGTATCTAGAATATCAACACATGTGATTTGGGGAGGGGACACAATCAGCTGAAAACATAAACTAGTCTCCTGCTGAATACATACTCTTAGAAAAGAAAATAGTGAGTAAAGACACACACACACACATAACATTTTAATAGCTACCATCAGATTATATCACAGAAAGGCTGCTAAAGTTACATGATCACAAGAAATTTCTGGTTGTAGCTGCTTCTCTGCAGCCAGGCTTCCCTAGGGTTTGGCTTTAAGAAAATAAAATTGGTTAATATCTTGTACTTACAGCAAATAAAATCATACTGTTTCATTTTTTTCCAGTTTTCCAAATGACAAGTTTGATTTACCTTTCAATTCATTATCAGCTATTTAGATTTTTTCTTCCCTGAGCCATACTCAGATTTTGGGCCCTGTGATGTGCTTTCTTGCAACCTGTAGTCTCCAAGCATTTGCCCCTGTGAAGAACCTGGTTTGACATGTAGGAGAAAATTAGGATCAGAACACTTTTGAGATCTGAGAAAACCGCTTTATTAGTAGGACCACCATCTCAGAGAGATGATTCCTAAAGTCTGAGCCCTGAGCACTTTGGAACTTCTACTTTTATACAAAAGCAAGTTTGAGGTACATCAAGGCAACAGAGTTGGTGCAATGCCATTGGATGGTGCAGTCTACATTCCTTACGTGGATGCAAAGTTGTGAACAATGTAGGAGACTCTTAGCTCATAGAGCTTAGGTACTTTTACTGCATTAAAACTAAAGGGGGATTGTTCTGTCCCCATTGCTTTATTTCCTGCTTCTGGTACTGTTATTACCTTTTACAGGTACTTATTAGCCACTGCACTCCTCTATGGTTAAATGTCAGTAAAAAGAGCTGCTGCTAGAAAGCATAAAAAAAACCACAGCCTCAGTTAAACTGCTGAGTTTCCATTTTCCTCTACCACAGACACCTCTTTCTGAAGACTTCTCTCACATGAAAGAAGGATAACCAATAGTCTTCAAGTCAAAGGACTTCCTGGGTTGTCTTCTCTAGGCTTTGTCTTTAAAATGGGGAAGGAATCATATTTCTCCAGATGGGCATCCTCTATATTAGGAACAACCCAGACTTTGAGGAGCTTTGAAGGAATTTTACACAGTTCTGTCCTGGACAGTTCTCAGTTGTGACACATGCTCTTGAGAAGCCATTTGGTATCTAGAAGCCTGTGTTTTCTCACCTCCACAATTGGATGCTTTTGGAGGACTCGGGTGGATAATGGATTCATAAGTTCTCTTGATATATATAGATTCTGTGCTTCCACAGCTGACAGAACAACTTGAAGATACTCTGAAGTTACTGCTTTACCATTATCTGACATTCCACAACAATTTTCAGAAGATTATAACCTTGACACCATGGACACTCATGTCATTCACATACCCAAATACACTATGTCACCTCTTCCTTGTTTGAAGTTCAAATGCAAATTACCTGATGATTCATGTTACTATCAAAATTATTTATTTCTATGTGGCCTCCTTTTTCTCTATGTCTTCAATAATACAATTTTCTGCTACTTCCCATTTTAGCCCATGTCCATCTTTATTTTGAAAACATAGGACTTCGTGGTCCTTTATATCCTTCTAAATCACCTGTTTCTATAATTGATAAACCCTGATTAAACTGACCTCATTTTTGATATCAAATATATTTTTGTTGTGTACAAAGGGGACATGATGAATTAGAGTTGTTTTTTTGCCCTTGTGTAAACTGAACCAGGATTACCTGGATCCTGAAATGAGAGGCCCAAGATGACTCAGATGTATGAGATTGTTCTGTTCATATTATACTAAGTAATTCACTGGACTGGAATATATATATATATATATAT